AGTTTGTCAAATTCACAGTATTGATAGATATCATCTTGCTATACATGTAACCAAGGTAACTGGGGTTTTTCATCTCAGACCATGATGCATCACTTTTATAAAGCAATTTGCTGATATAATCCTTCATTCTTTCAGATTGTACTAAGAATCCAGTACAGCATCTCATGATACACTTGTGCTAAAGATTTTGAGGTAAATCAAAGGAAGCCTACCCAGAAAGTTTCATAACCCTCACTTGCACTATAAATCCACATATTTTGGATGGTTTTTGGTTGCTATTATTCTTTTTTTTCATTTTTTTAGTGTTGTTGATCAAACCCATGGTGTCCTGCATGCTAGACAAGCACTCTAGCACTGAGCAACACCACCAACCGCTTCTTGTTAAAGAAAGTATTTTACGTACATTGGTCAAACATAAGAAGCCTAATAATGCAAAATAAAAGTAGCTGGATTTGGTTCATGAGATTTTCAGCATAAGCTGTACTTCCATCTCCGCAGCAGATGGGAGATGAGACCTCTCTGTTGTTCCATGTGTGACCTTATCTCTATCAGTCTGACTCCTCCCCAGTATGGCTGTGTAACAAAGTGTAGAAAGATCCACAAGGGGCTTGTGCATTGTAAACCATAACAAATGTGAGGAATTGGTAGTATTTGTTATTCTTTTGGTCAATTTTAAGTTTTACATTTTTCTGAGGCAAAGTTTATCAATGAAACATTGATTATGAAATCACAAAATTTTAGTTTTAAAAGCATTCTCCAAACAATCATAAGCAAAATCTACATTCATTAATAAATATTACATTGTTAACTAAGTAAAAACAAGTGATTGGAAAAGTCAATTATTTGGAAGGTCAAAATGATTATTTTTATCCTGCATTGTACATAGTGAAGCCTTTCTATTCTCTAGCATTGCTAGGTGTCATGTAAGTTATGTTATTTCGAAGTAAATTTTGTTTCCCATACTACAAAATCTATTCTCAGTCAAGAAGCTGACCTCAAACAAAACAGAACAAACAGACAAACAAAACCTAGGTATAACCCTCCAAATAGAATGAGAGTATAAAAATCAAAACTTCTATTTTTAAGTGGCAAAAAGCACTATAAACAGCAATTACAAGGGAGTCCTCATGCTCTATAAAATATTTATAATACTCACAAAAATGATATCATACCATATCATAAATTTTACTGAAAGTAGATGTGTTAGTTGCTGTAATCATTAAACATTTAAACAGTTTTGCTGACTTTCTGGGAACTTAAAAGAACCCATTTTTAGAAGGAGTGATGAAAGACAAACAAATTACCTAGGTTCCTTAAGAAAGCTGTGCAGGGAGGGCTGACCACGTGTGCATTTCCCTCCCATGTAGAACCAGTGATCCCTCTACTTCCCCCTTGACCTTGTGGTGGCTCCTAGGCCAGAGGACAGGTGCTTCCTGAATGCTTGCTGTTGATGTTGCTTATGTGACTAAAACTTCAGCTTCAGTGTAAGAGGGTTCCTAAGATTTCTGTACTTTACCTTCTCTTAGTTTCTTCATCTCTTTAAAACTATAGAAATTGTTTTTGGTTCAGAAAAATGAAAAAAAAAGTGCTGTTCAGTCACTGAATTTGACACCTTGCTGATAGCTGTCAGAGCCTTTTATTCTGTTAGGCAAGCAGAAAAACAATTACTAGCTCTTTGTCATGGTCTTTCTGAGGAGAAACCTCAGCAGCTCCCAGGGAATTGCTGAGGCAGGTATGAGCTGTCAGGCTGCTGTTTCCATTTGGATGGGGACACTTTGGCTACCTCTGCACCTGCAGGCTTATCCACAGAACACAATGCTGAGACCCAAGCACATCACTGAGTAACATCAGGTAATTGATGTAGGGTTTGCTCACTTGCACAAGTCAACTTAAACACCAGAACATGGATCTATGAAGCTATTAATTTTAAAAACTGTGTTTTTGGCTTCCTGAAGGCAGTCCCCTCAAATGAAAGCAGTCTCTGAGAAAAACATCAACTGATTGTCTTATGTAATACTTATCGGTGGTTGACCCCTGATTTATTTTGATGTAAAGTAAATATTCCCTATCCAGGGGTGGAACAGGGACAATTCAAAAGTTGATCAAATTTATACTCAGGGAATGTAACTTTCCCTTTGAATATCTTTCCCCTCTCCTTTCCTAGTAGCCCTTGTCTTATTGGGTTTCTAGTTCCTTCATAGTCTAGCTGCAGGGCCCCCTCCTAACCCTGCACTTGTGGCCTTTATTCATCCTAAAGAATAAATAGCATTTTGAAATATTTATAAATAAATTGAATAATTAATGCACTTTAGCATTCAGTGTGCTTTAGCAGTGGAAACTTGGTATTCTAAATTAATTGTGGGGTGAAGGAAGCAAATAGAATATTAAATCTCCAACTCCCTCTATAGGAAAGTCAGCCTTGCATGTGTCACATGCTTGAGTCATATATGAAAATGTTATCCAGAATTCTATAAAATTTAGTTCATAAAAAATAAATCATCACAGTGATTTCAGGCCTAAATGATCAGTGGGGGGCTACCAAGCAATCATATGACATAAAAATATACCTACTGAATTTGTGTTCTTAAAAATATCAGACAACACTACCTTGACCAGTAAAATTAGTTAATTGCAAGTTAACTGCATTTAATAAAGAAAATCATACAATCAATGAATCAATAAAACAGAGCTGTGGAAAGGTACAACACTCTGCCTGTAATCCTAGCTACTTGGAAGGTAGAGATTGGAAGGATCACAGTTCAAGGCCAGACTAGGCAAAAAGTCTGCAAGATCCCATCACAACTAATAAAAAGCTGGGTGTGGTGGTGTACACCTGTCCCCCAGCTATAGGAGAGGCATAAGTAAGAGGATCATGGTTTAGATATATCAGCCTGGGCATAAACATGAGAACCTATTTGAGAAATACCAAAACTGAAAAATGCTTAGGTTGTGGCTCAAGTGGTAAAGTACCGGCCTGTCAATTGTAAGGTTCTGAGTTCAAATCCCACTACTGACAACAAGGAAAAAGAAAGGCAGTTATATCTATGTATACCAAATAAATAGTCTATTAACAGTCTTATTTCTATTTTAATACAGTATAATTATTTATAAATTAGTAATTAATGATATTACTCTTACACCTTATTTTTAACATTTTAAAAATCCAATTCACATTATTCTTCAAATCTGTCCCTCATGTAGGTCCTCTTATTTCCATTAGCATACAAACATATAGACTTCCACTCAGTCTGGAGTCCGAGAGTCATCCTTAATTCACCACAAGCCATCCTTCAGACTGTTGACAAGTTATTCTTTCAAAAGTAGAACTCCTGTCATGATGATTCCTTGCTAGAAAAACGGAGAAAAAGCCAATGCCTCTCCATTACATCCTAAACTAAGTAATAATTCTTTCTCCAGTGGTTTAAAACCATCAAAGATATCATAAATACCTTTGATGTACACAGCTCATTGTTGCTGTTATGAATTATGATTCTTATTGGCAAAATGTAATGACTGTTTACTAAATGTCACACACTATCCTCAGACTTCACCTAAATTATCTTAGATAACTATAAGGTAATCCCATGAGGCAGATACTATGATATTTGTTGTATTTTACTCATAAAATGAACAGACCAAGATCACAGATGAGGGACAGCTGCAAAGGCTGGCCCTGTTGCAGTGACAGAGGAGCCCCTCTGACAACAGTGATTCAGCTGACCATCTCTTTTTACTCCAGGCCAATGGCATCAGTAATTCCCTTCCTTCTGTACCTAACTCTAGGTATAAATATTAATTCTAAATAAAATTGATGCTACTAATTAGGGGAGTTGCCAGCAAAGGTCACAGAAATTTGCATTCCTTGTTCTCTGTAAAATGTTCCTGTTTATAGCTACTTTGCCTACTTCTTTGGTGACCACAATTACATTTTCCCTGACAATTCTGACTTCAAACTTTCTGCCTGTCTCAGAGTTATGGCTAACAGGTAATACACCAAAACACATCCCACAACAATAAAAAAATTCAAGACCATATTCACCCCATGTAAAAATCAGGATAAAAAGATGTTAGAGGGAACAGACTGAAAGGGAACCATGACTTTTTTAGCTAGGCGTTGTTTTCTAGGCTGTGACTTTTTGCAGAGATGACCAATGGTTCAAAAAGAAAATAGGGAGTTCAGGAAGAATTTGTCCAAACAACCAGATATGTGAAATGAACAGGAACAAGGAAATATCACCTCCCCTCTTTCATAAGCACATCTTGAAGGCAAAGAGAAGAATCAATAATTGATAAACTTTGTGAGAAATAAAGGTTCATCCACAGCCACCACCTATTAGGAAGTGAAAATCTACTTGTCATGATGCAAAACACAAAAATAAATGGAATTCTTTAACATATGTGCTCAATGAATGTACTTTAGAGAAGAGTAAATGATCATTGGCATTCTAATTCTCTTAGAGAAGAATATATTAAAATAAAAATATGCACAGAAAATGGAAGAATTTTGAACATAGTCATCATTACCTGTTGTGGGAGATTTAAGAAAACTTAAATGGATAGAAAGATGTTTGAAAATGCTTATGCACATTTAACTTGAAAAAGCAGTATAATCACAAAATATCAGCCCTCTGGTATACTTGGTTAAAAAAGGGAGCAGAAAAGTCTGTGAACTTCATTGTTAATTACATAATACACTGAGATGAGTAATTTACAGTAACTTCAGGAAATTCCAAAGAGCAAAGGTTTTATAATCAAGGGGTTGGTACTACTAACACAAAACCTATGGGTGCTGAAAATAGTTTTTCTCCTATAGAGGGTTCCCAAAAGAATAGCACCTGAGGAAAATTATATAAACTGACTTTTAGCTATATATGTTAAATAAGTGAAAAAGTCATGTCAATCAAGAAATGAAAGATGTAGCTCCTTAGGGCTTTGTACTTAGGCTGTTCATCTCAGCTTCTCCAGCCCAAGTCTGTACTAACATGCCTTTCTTTTCACAGGGAGATAAAGAAGCTGAATTAGGGCTTCCATTTTCCCCACTTTGTGATCGGAAGTCAACGATGGTAGCCCAGTCACAAATAGGTAATACTGAAGGACAGTGGTCCTAGAGGGCAGTGACTGATGATCACTTTTCAAGTATGTAAACTATGCTGTTCAGAGTCCCCCAGGAAAACTACATTATGTATTCAAATTTTGGCTTTAGACTAATCTAGATGGTGCTGAGTATAAATTATTGAAATAATTTTGCAAAATGAATTTAATAAAGCAACATTAGTCAATGTTATTCTGGATTTAATCTTTTTTTTAAAAACAAAATAAAAGACTTCTTGTGTGAGGGACTATATTTTTAGTCTATTGTTGGTTATTCCTCATGACTAGTAAAGATCACCTTCTTACCTCAGGTGCTCTAGCAGCATCTGCCATAAAACCAAAGGACTGTCCAAAAGCTGTTGGCTGTGACCTTTTCCTCTTCGTAAGCCAGTTCCACCAGCTCTTTATCAAAAGCCTCAAACACAGGTGCCTATCAGTGTTTAGAAAATGTGAATGCAGCAGGTTATGAACCTCATCTCCCAAACCAGGAAGGACTGACGCTCCTGATGCTGCCGGCTACAATACCAGGCAATTACTGCCATGCTAATGGAGGTGATGCTTGACCAGACAATATACATGCCCTGGGAATTTTAAACCATAGCAGAGCTCAGAATAGCACCCTGGGTGGACGATTAACATTGCTTTGATTTGAAAGTGTCAACTAAGACACAAATTATTCAAGATTTTAAAAATAAGAATAATCCAATTACTTGAAATATGAATTACTTTTATAATCATCCAAGGGATAATCTTATGTGCATATCTCCCAGGGCACAAAGACCTTCCTTCCCTTTATTCTCTTATGTTCAGATAGTCCACTGCTCTCATTAGGTTCAAGACAAAAGCACCAAATGGCTCCTAGAACCTTGGGTGGTGAGATGTACACAGACCTTAGAATAGTTGTCTCCTCCTCTGCCTAAACACTGGGTGATAAATGCTCTCAGAGTACAAGGCCTTGTTCTTTGTGTGTCATTTTCCATCTTGACAAGTCCTTTAAATGTAAAAGTCATCAGTCAATCCTAACTTCTCAAAGTGGTGAGATTAATGCTGTCTCCCAGAGATGTTACTGTGCTCTCCTCTGATTTGACAGCACACCCCCAGAAGCTGCAAACTAACACTTTACATCCAGAGAATAATAAACAGCAATTCGAAAGATTACAAAGCTCTGACTAATACACTAAGAGAAAAAAGTGGTTGCCATCCTGCAGCCTGAGGAAAAACTTTAATTATTTCGCTCCTCTTAAATATTATCTCTTTTTGGCAAGTAATAAAATTCAACAGCCAGTGACCAAATGAAGACCTTTCCAAAAGGGTAATGAGCCCTCTTGTTGAGAGGAAAATATATTCCTGCTCATTAGGTCTGAATCTATTATTGGCAATAGGATATAAGGTTGAATATTAAATGAGAAAATCAATGTCCTTGCATTAGCAAGCTTAAAATGCACCACCTCTACTGCTTGAGAGATTGTTTTATAGAGCAGTTAAACCATCTCTAAGGATTGTGTTACTATACTAAAATAATACAAAAGGTAAGCAGAACCAGTATTATACTTGACACTTGTCTTAGAAGCATGCCAGGGACTGTTAGTCACTTCAGAATTCAAGAAATTGTAATATTTTAATTTATTTTTATTTTATTAATATATTTTGCTTTTGCTTTTTTAGGTTTTATTGATTTCATAGTAGAGCCAACATTTTCTCTTCTGACAGACTCAACAGAGAAAATTGTTATTCCTCTTATAGAGGAAGCATCAAAAGCTGAAACTTCCAGCTATGGGGCAAGCAGGTATGTTATTCTTTTGCATCATTTTTCATCTTCACTTAATGACCATCCTGATTTTTTATAGCTGGACAGGGAATTCTTACAAGAATTATTAGGTGGTACTGCCACCTAGTGGCATTATATTGTATTGCATATGTCATTGAAATTGAGAACTGAGGTCCAGTATTTGGGGAAAAAAAAAAAAAGAATCAATGAAAGTAGTCAAGTGTGCACTAAAGACAGTCCTTGATCCCCTCTACATGGGGAGGAAGTCAAGGAAGGCGATCCACATGCTTAAAACTGGGCCTGTTCATCTGCTGCTTCTCCAGTTAATTTTAAGTTTTTCAGGCATTGCTCTCTCATCTCAGGTGTTGACCTTGTTGTCTCTTGATTTCTTTGGTTGTTTCTGTTAGCTCATCCACCATCGTGGGATTACACATTGCCGATTCTCTGAGAAGATCAAATATGAAAGGCTGTGTGAGCGATGGGAGCTATTCCCCAGACTACTCCCTCACAGCCGTGGACCTGAAGAGCTTCAAAAACAACCTGGTGGACATCATTCAGCAGAACAAAGAGAGGTGGAAAGAGCTAGCTGCACAAGGTAAAGTTGTTTCTGATGCTTTCTGCCCTGACTCTATCTTAACTCCTCTAATAATTTGGATTTTCTTCCATTCAAGTTTTTTCTTTTATAAAATATGCAAGCTCTTGGTGGTATTTGGAATTTGGCTATACTTTGGTTACTTGTGAAAAAGTTGTATTCTTTGTTAGATAAAAAGGTATTCTGCTCTGTTTATGTCACATGGGCTACAGATGTGTGCAGCAGTGGGTTGTGGCAACCTGGACATAAAGGATGGATGATAAAATGGTGACAGAAACTAGGGCTCACTAACCTCCTGTGCTTCTGCAGAGGTGCTTTGGAGCCTGTTTTAGCCCCAAGAAAGAAGATCACAAGCTCTTGGCTGCTCTTACCTGAATCTCCAGACATTTTCTTAAAGAATAAAAGCTTCTCAAATGATTGTGGTTCCATTGATTGATTTTCAGTGTTGTAATTGTTTCTATCAATCTGCTTAGAAGTATCTGGAATGGTAAGCACTGTATGAGTTGGCTGCTATTGCTATAGTTTTTACTTATTGTACATCTGTAACATAGTCCAAGAATTAGAGCTACAGCAGAGAACAAAAGAGACAAAAATCCCTACCCTCATGAAAAAGTGAGAGACAATTAGGGGTAGGGTTGCAATTTTAATAAGATAGTCAGGAAAGGCTTACTAAGATAGTGATAACTTAGATAAATACATGAAGGAGGTTAGCAAGAGAGTCATGGGGAAGTCTGGGGTGGTGGGTTGATAAATTTTTAGACACATGGAATAGCTACACATTACCTGGGAGACAGAGCTTACCTTGCATGCAAGCAACAAGGAAGCAGGGAGAAATAGGAAGCCAAATGAAGGATTTTAAGAAGAAAAATGAATAATTTGAACTAAGGTTTTAAAGAATTTCTCTGACTATAGAGTAGAAAATATTCTTTGGTTTGAAATGCAAAAATGTCACCTAGGAGGTCAGAAAGAAGGGTGCTGTTCATAGCTCAAGAGAAACATGGGAGCATAAACCATGCAGTAATGGTGGAGACTGTCAAAATTCTGGATGCATAAAGATGGGGGCTTGAGCCACCATGTATGCAAAAGGATATGCAAAAGAGATAGATTTGGGTATATTTTGGGAAGTTGAACTGATAGGATTATTTTGTTATCAGGTTGGATATGGACTACAAAATCAAGAGAATCGTCAAGATGCCAGGCTTTTGGTTTCCTTACACATTATTTGTGTACATGTAATTATTTCACAGAGCAATTTGACATTCTAGGCAAAGATGAAGATGTACATGCTACATTTCTCAGTAACTGAACTTCTGCATTTTTACCATAGAGATACTTTTGCTCCTGTTCTTCAGAGGACACGTCCAAAACGTTTATATGGGCATTGTTCATGAGTGCAACATAAAGTGGAAAAAAAACAGTAAAAGGAATTTATATGATGTGCTTGTTCATCCTATCTAACAGCGTGCAACTGTTAAAATAAGGGAGCTATATAAATGCACGGATAGGGATGAAGGACACAAGCAGTAGTGATCAAAATATGCAACCTGCTCAAAAAAAAAAAAGAGCAAGGCGTCTTTTACAGAAAGTCAAAAAAACTCAAAGCTAAACAATAGGTTTTAAAAACATGTATAATAAAACTCAAGAATGATAGGGAGAAGTATTCAGAATGGTTCTAGGAGGTAGGGCAGGTTATTTGTTTAGAAACTGATACCATTTTATTTCTCAGATTGAGTACTAGATAGATGTTTAACATATCATTTTATCTAACCTGTATGCTTTATATATGTACACATGAATCCATTTATTTGGATACAATGTTTCAGAATAACAGGAAAAATGGGCTCAACTACAAAAATGCATCTTTAAAAGACTCATCAATTTTAAAATGAATATCACTCAGATATTACTATTCTAATTTCCCATTGCCATCACTTTCAGCCTTAAATACACTGAAAGTGGAAAAGCTCCTTTGTTGTAACTACACTGAAATTAAAATAAGCAGGTCACATGGTGCTTAGAGCTTTGGAACATTAATTAAGCATCAAGACTTTGAAGAGAGTCCCACGTTTGGCATCATCTTATTAACCTTCAAACTTTACTTCATAGCCCCTCAAAACCATCCCACTAATCCTAGAGCAGCCAAAAGCCGGAGATCGTCAGACTCCAAGGTATGATGCTCTGGGGTCATCAATAACACAAAACGCTTTTGTCAATTAAGTTACCCAGTAAGTCTTCTCTTGAGGAGCTAAGCACATCTGTCTAAAACTACTATATGTAAACTTCTTTTTTGAAGTGCATCTCAAATGTTCACTTTTAGGTTAAAATTTTATCCATTTATCTAATTTTTTATCTTCATCATTATTTCAGCATCCTCAATATCTTATGTCTTATCCAAACTCTGCCCTTTTCTGTACTAATTAAGAAGTGACAAGAGATTTTAAGAGGATCTGTGACTATTCTTTTAGTGAGGGCTGTGACAGGCAGGTAGGGATTATGAGAGGAGCTCTTCCCACTGTTTCTACTCGTAAAGCCTCAGGCAAATCCTGTAACCTTCACTAGCCTCAACAAACGCAGTTACTGAGATAACAGTGTCTTCCCTGGTAAAAGTTCACTGTTCGTTCGGGGAAGCAGACATTCTCAGTTATCCACAACTCATTTCTAGATGTGCTCCAGAGTCTTGAAGATCTAGGATGCATCTTTGAGAGCAAGGTACCTGAGAAAGTGATGGGGAAAAGATCATAAGCGCCATACTGGTGCTCAATGCGATTGTAGATGTCTTTTATTCACAACAAGGAAAATCATGTATAGGAAAGAAATATATAAAATTTAAAGTGCCATATAAACGTAGCTCATTTGCATTCATAGCCTGCCCTCCATGCTATGAGCATCACCTGCATGCTAGAGCTGAGGTGGAGTGGATGAGGCTCCTACTGGGAACTGTTAGGGGACACACTTCTAACTTAGAGAAGCCCCTGAATGGCAGGAAAGCACAAATAGCAGCTCTCCCTCACACCAAAACAGTTTTTTTCATAAGCCTCCTGAGAGTTTGGTCAATCTTAGACACATAGAATTCATTCTGAACCAGCTCTACCAAAGCACTGTGCCTGGAACAAGACCAGGAATTGATCCCAGACAGACTTTTTCTTTCTCTCCTCTCAAGAGGAGAAACAGTTGTACCTAGAAGTCTCCACATTCTGGCATCACTCTGGAATGGAATGCAATGTATTTCTTACCTTCTGTGTTTTAGCAAGCAGGAGTGGGAGTGGAGTTAATGATACATTTCCCAAAGTACACGCCTCATTGAGACTCAGGCATCCCCCTTGAAGGTGTGCACCTTCTCCCCACACGACAAGATCTAGTGCATATCATGATCCAAGTCTGCTGCACATGTGGGAAACATGGAACCTGACAAAAGGTTGATAACCACCAATGAAGTCATTGCAAAATTATTTATAGAGACTTCCTATGCACTAGTGTGAAATATGTGCCTGTATTTTTTGGGTTTTTTTAACAGCAGAATTCATGGGGTTATGGTTAGGGTTAGAGTCAGAGTTAGGACTTAGTTCTCTGGTAGCTCCTGTTAGATAACAGGTTAGTCAGTATTGTTATAGGAAATTTTACTGTTCTTTGTGGAAGACTGATTTTAATAGTGAATACATATAAATAAGATGGTAATAACCCAGTATTTTGTTCTATTTTTTCTTCAGCTAAAAGACCTAAAAATCCACTGATGAATGGCAAAAAGGAAAGCTAAATGTATGAGACAGTCCCCAAATCTTATCTTTTTGTTCTATATCTGCACTTGCTGTTTTTCTGACACCCGAAAACCTAGACACTTGCTTAAATTTTACTTTGCAATATGAGTAATGACTATAAGATTTTACATGAGTTTTGTGGGTCTGGAAAACCCTTGATTAAGGAATGTGACAGTAGAAATTTGAGAAATACATAAGGTGGTGAGGAGGAAGAGAGTGGTAGTGTGGATCACATTCTTTATTCTAAGCGTATGTTCCTTTCTTTTCATACTCTGCCTCTAAAATCCCCTCAGTGACTGAGAACAGTTTAGTTCTGGCCTGAAACAATCCATTCAACAAAACAAAAGCCTGATATGGCCTAACATTGGGATTGTCTAGGTTGATCATACTTTGATTATTATTTTCAACTTAGAATCTCTTTTTTATTATTCATTTATTCACATGTGCATGCATTGTTTGGGTCATTTTTCTATAAAATGTTTAATTTCCTCACCACTCTCAGGACATATGTTGAAAAACTTTATCATATAAAATCATCATAGTGTTACTGGAAGTTTTAATTGGTTCTTGCTTTCCTGCAAGAGATTTCAAGCAAGACACAAAACGTAATGAAGGTAATAGCAAAGTTTATTAAAAGAAGTAAGGATACATTTTTATAGAGGAGAGCAGTTGTCTCAGAGATCAACTCGGCACTTTTGTGTACCAGCTTTATTGGGATTTTAAGAAAAGCTTGTAGAGAGACTTTTATAAAGCATTGAGTTTTCTGTCAATCATATCTCATCACAAACACTACCACAATCCTGCAACAAGCTTTTACCCTCCTAGTTGTACCTATGTATCCATGTCTGCTTTGGAACAATCCTTTACTTTAAGAAAAAAATTTATCTTACCATGTCAATAATTTTTTATCCAGAAAATGTGCTCTTACATAACTTTCTTATTCCTCTTCATGCCCTACCATATTCCATTAATTTTATCTCAGCATAAACTCTAACACAATCCTTTTGTGACATGTTTTTAGCCTTCCTAGTTTGCTCTTAACTTGCCTGTTTTCATTCTTGAACAATCTATTTCTTTTAGGACAACACCTTATTTACATACAAAATCTTTTCTTACCTTCTTTATAACTTTTTTTACATCTCCTCATGAGTGCTTTTACATATTTCTCCCCTTTTGGTCTTCATGAATTTAAAAGTTACAGAATATTACATTCCAGCTAGGGCTGTCTAAGAAACAAAACATCCAAAC